CCATTCCTTTCGCCCTTTTTTTTTTCCTCTCCCCCAGCTGCTGTCTCTCGTTTGTGTTCTGTCTCTTTTCTAGGAACACCTTCTTGTACTCTTCCAAGTTTTTTAACCTTGGTTTTTCTTGGAGGGGGGCCTGTTCCTCACTGTTTTTTGTCTGAGAATCAGCTTTATCGGTCGGTTTTTTCCCCTTCAGTACCCCCATTTTCTGAAAAATTTTCAAAACTCGTCCATGTCTTCTCCCCCTATTTCCGTGATGATTTTCCCAAAACTCCTTTCTTTCTTCCTGCCGTCTTTTAGGTGTGTCTTTTCCCGTTTTTTCCAAAGCCCCTGGAAAAAACACTGATTTTTTCCCTTTTTCCCCCCATTGCCTCTCCCTCTGGGACCTTTGGGTTTCCCGTCTGTATATTGGTTTTTTTTTCCCCTTTATTTTTCCGTGGCTTTGGTAGAAAGGTTTTTTTGCCTCAGCATTCGACTTATCTCCCTCTTTTATCTGCAAACCCAAACTGCTCTTTTTCCCTTTTTCTCCCTGGCCCCTTTTTTGCAGGCTGATATGACCTTAGCATATTCATTTCTCCCTTTCCCCCTGTTCATCCCCTCAGCTTCTATGCTGTGTCTTCTCTGGGCAATGGGCCCCCGGATTGCTTCAGCCTGTTTACCTCAAATTCTAGGACCCTTACCCTGTTAATGCATTTTTTTCTTGTGGCCCCCCATTTCTTCGTCTCCCCCCCCCCCCTTTTCCAAAATCTTTTCCCAATTTTGAGAGAAGCTCTTTCTCCCTTTTTTCAGAAAGCTCCCTAAAATTTTTTCTCCCCTTCTTTTCTCCAAACCTTTTTCCCTGCTCCTCCATCCATTCCCCCCTACCCAAAACCTTTGTCATCTGATCCCTGAAATTCCCACCCAGTCCAAAAACCCTTATTTTTTTTAATAAAAGGGAAAGAGAGAAAGAGAGAGAGAGAGAGAAAGAGGGGAAAGGTAGAAGGAGAGAGAGGGGGAGAGTGAAAAGGAAAAGGGAGAGAGAGTGAGAGAAAGAGAGGAGAGAAGGGGAAGATAGGAGGAGAGAGGGGAGAGAGAAGGGAAAAAGAAGAGAGAGAGAGAGAGGAAGAGAGAGGAAGAGAGAGGAAGAGAGAGGAAGAGAGAGGAAGAGAGAGGAAGAGAGAGGAAGAGAGAGGAAGAGAGAGTGTTGCGGCCTCCTGCCAAACTAGCGGTTAAATAGTTAACCTGCCGGCCTTAGAGCATTAAGTACCTAAACACCTCACGGTACGCATCTAAGCAGTAGGTACCTGAACACCTAATGGTACACATCTACTGGCAGTAGAGTATTCTACTGGCTTCTACTAATTTTAGAAGAAGTGCTCACCGCAGCTCACTGAGTCTGTTGGTCTCAGTTACTTGACGGCCGCATTCAGTGAGCTTGCAACATAGTGGGTGCTGCATCGGACCACCTTGCGGTGTGTCAACTGGTCTTGAAGGCGGTAGATAGTACTCACCAGACCACCTTACGGTGTACTTCTACCGGCCTTAGAGAGTATTTACAGGACTACCGGTGATGTCTGCGGACTCACCGCCTACGCTGGTCAACTGTGGGCCGGAGTCAACTGATGCTGTTATAGTGGGACATTACATGAAGAAAAGGATGGAGTGTTACACTGAACTGGGCTAGGTCCGTAGTGGGACACTTAGGGAAGTATGATGGAGTGGAACACTGAGATATGCTACAGGACCGTAGTGGAACACTGAGAAGAAAAGGGTGTCGTGTGACACTGAAGATGGCTTCGTTGTAGTGTACATTGAATAGTGTCATGTGATTGGCTTCGACAAAGACGCTATGCGGGCAGTGTGACGCAGAGACAAGGGTGTCAAGTGTGACACGGTTGCGAAAGTGTGTGTATTACACGGAGAAAAGGGTGTCAAGTGACACGGTGGAGAAAGAGCGTCACAACTCGGATAAGTGTCGTGAGAAACGCAGTTGATTGTAATTTATTATTTTAAATGTTACTTAATTTATTATTTTAGCATAGATATATATAGTGACACAGTAGTGTCAAGAAAGTTGTACCCTGTGTAGGGTTACGAATTATTTATTTTAGTTAGATGCTAATTATAATTTATTATTGTAACATATATATATATATTTTAAATACCTCCTAGACCAAAGATTGATTTTTATATAATATTAAAGATTAATTTATTTTAATGTATATGTATCCCGAACTCTTTATTACAAAAGGAGTAAAACTGCCATCTTTAAAAATCACTTTTTTTGTAATTGAGAGGAAGAGAGAAGAAGAGAGAGGAAGAGAGAAAAAGAGGAAGAGAGAGAGGAAGAGAGAGAGAAAAAGAGAGAGGAAGAGAGACAAAGGGAGAGAAAGGAAGAGGAGAGAGAGAGAGAGAGGAATAGAGAGAGAGGAAGGGAGAGAAAGATTAGAGAGAGAGAGAGGAAGAGACAGAAAGAGTAAGAGAGAGAGAGAGAGAGAGAAGAATAGAGAGAGAGAAGAATAGAGAGAAGAATATATATAGAGAGAGAGAGGAAGAGAGGAAAAGAGACAAAGAGACGGAGAGAGAAGGAAAGGTTAGAGGGTCAATTCACATAAAGGTGTGAAATCCTGTATGTGTGTGTGTGTGTGTGTGTGTGTGTGTGTGTGTGTGTGTGTGTGTGTGTGCTACAGCTATTCAAGTGCCTAACAGCAGATCCTGTTCTCACCTAGTGTGTGTGTGTGTGTGTGTGTATGCGTGCTTTTATGTAAGCAGTCCTTATTTCCCTCGTATGTACTACATATGTTTTGCATATGTACCCTATCTCTTGGTTTCCACTGTACTGTCTTGTGCGCCTAAAATTACGTAAATTCACATAAAGGTGTGAAATCCCGTATATATATGTGTGTGTGTGTGTGTGTGTATGAGTGTGTGTGTGTGTGTGTGTGTGTGTGTGTGTGTGTGTGTGTGTGTGTGTGTGTGTGTGTGTGTATGTATATGTGTGTGTGTGTGTATATGTGTGTGTGTGTGTGTGTGTGTGTGTGTGCGTGTGTGTGTGTGTGTGTGTTTATGTAAGCAGTCCTTATTTCCCTCGTATGTACTACATATGTTTTACGTATGTACCCAATCTCTTGTCCCCACTGTACTGTCTTGTGCCTAAAATTACGTTCATTCTGTATGCTAGGCTTCGCTAGGCTACCTCTCATACTAGGCAACCTATCATTAACTGCTTAACTCCTAAACCTCAATAAATTTTATTAAATGCCAGTAAATGCTGCTTATTCTAATTCTGATAGCTCGAGGAGAGTGACCCCCAATTTCCAGCTAGAGACTGGTGCTGACCCCATGCAACTCAAACTAGGTGAATATTGTGATGAATGGTTTGAAAAACCGACAAGTTGAAGATTGAGACACTTATGCAGCATATGGGAATCTTTATTCAGGAAACGTTTCGCCACACAGTGGCTTCATCAGTCCAATACAAAGAGGAAGGCGTAAGGAGAGGAGGAGTATGAGGTAATCAGTCCCACATCGACTCCAGGCTGAGGGACTGATTACCTCATACTCCTCCTCTCCTTACGCCTTCCTCTTTGTATTGGACTGATGAAGCCACTGTGTGGCGAAACGTTTCCTGAATAAAGATTCCCATATGCTGCATAAGTGTCTCAATCTTCTAGGTGAATATTACTTGCGGCTGGCAGTGGAGTAATGTTGTCGTCCTCCTGGGTCCCAGTATGAAAATTCTTGATGCTTCTCGGTAATTTTTCCACTAACTTCCTGTAGGCACTGTGGTCTCTAGCTCATCTAATTTTTTCACTCACTCACTGTATTTACTGACACATCTATACATATCTCTTATCTCCCTGGTCTTGAGTCGCACTTATTCTTCAAAATACCCCACTGCGTTATTATGGCAACACTATTTAGGCCTGACAACCGTTCACCCTTCCAACGGCCCCCACTAAACACTTAGTCACTATTTCCTTTGTTTTCTTTTCTGTGATCACTTATATTTCCTTTTTTCGGGGCTTAAGTGATTATATGCACTCTCATGCGTGCACACGCCTATATCCCACACTCTATTCCTTATGGCACAGTCAGAAATTATCACCAAAACACGAGCTCAAACCGCGTGACTCCTCCACGAGTGTGTGTGTGTGTGTGTGTGTGTGTGTGAGAGTGTGTGTGTGTGTGTGTACTCACCTAGTTGTACTCACCTAGTTGAGGTTGCAGGGGTCGAGTCCAAGCTCCTGGCCCCGCCTCTTCACTGGTCGCTACTAGGTCACTCTCCCTCTGCTTAAAGCTATGTATGGATCCTGCCTCCACTACATCGCTTCCCAAACTATTCCACTTCCTGACTACTCTGTGGCTGAAGAAATACTTCCTAACATCCCTGTGATTTATCTGTGTCTTCAACTTCCAACTGTGTCTCCTTGTTACTGTGTCCAGTCTCTGGAACATCCTGTCTTTGTCCACCTTGTCAATTCCTCTCAGTATTTTGTATGTTGTTATCATGTCCCCCCTCTCTCTCCTGTCCCCCAGTGTCGTCAGGTTGATTTCTCTTGCCTCTCCTCGTTGGACACACCTCTTGAGTGTGTGTGTGTGTGTGTGTGTGTGTGTGTGTGTGTGTGTGTGTGTGTGTGTGTGTGTGTAAAAGAGAGAGAGTGAGAAGAATTTTTATATCGAGAATCCAACATATACCGGGTTAGAAACCTGTTACATAATGTAAGTTTTTACAAATCTTCCTCCAGCGTGGCCGTGACAAGCTCTAGCTCAAGTTCCCTCAAAACTGTCATCATGACTCACGAAATCGTAATGACACGATTGAGGTAGTGTCCGTCACGGCCACACTAGCGGGAGAGTCATCTGTAAACACTTGCCATTGTGGTCACAGTGGGACCCATACTAAACTTACATAATATATTCAAGTTATTAGAGCAACAAGAGACATGCCAGTAAGAGTCAACGTGCAGTGGAGCCTCATAGTACTTTAGTACTAACTAGCAGTAACTCAGTGACTGTTATTGCAGTGTTGGAGTACGTATCCAGTCAGTACCGTACCATCATGGCTAATGTGCCTATCATGCTCTTCCTGACAACTGCCATGTGTGCCATGCCTTGGATGGCCATGGGCATCGCTAACTGGTCCACCTTCGCTGTGGTCATCCACGCACCTCAGGCCATCTCATTCTTATTCTTGTGGTGAGTAGAAACTTTTCACTTTCAATCTTGCAACACGTGGAATATTTTTTTTTACATCCTGCCACTGTTCGCTTCTCAGAAAATAAGTACATGTGTGACTGTCTCTCTAAATCCGCTGCCCGTATTATCTGGCAGTAAATATGTACCAGGATTTTAGTGTTTCTATACCTGTTAATGGAGGGGTAAGCCAGTGGAAGGCATCTATCAGATGACCAAAAGCTCCAGCTGCGGGTCATCATGTGACTAAGACCCGAGTCAGGAAACACTTGTCCTATACCTGTTGCAACTGTTCACATATCATTAAGTACCTGACTGTTAAGTTTCTTTCTGCTGTTGCAGCTGTTTACATGTCAATAAATGGGTATAGGGGTACAGACATAGCTTTAAGATGAGGTACGATAAGGCTCTTGGAGCATGGAGAGACGGGACCTAGTAGAAACTAGCGAAGAGGTGGGGCCATGAGCTGTGAATCAACTGCAACCACAAATGAGTACAAATAGGTGAGTACACTGCTTACACAATGCTATAAGAATTTAGTTTACATCCTTGTTCACTCTTGTTCACTCTTGTTCACTCTTGTTCACTCTTGTTCACTCAGCTGTAAATATGTTCCTGGGAATCACTCACCTTAAGTTTGTAAAATAAACAGCGTAAGAAGAAAAAAATATGATTTACAGATCCCTTGTCACAGGAACATTCTGATTCATCACCCTTGTCATAGGAACATTCTGATTCATCACCCTTGTCATAGGAACATTCTGATTCATCACCCTTGTCATAGGAACATTCTGATTCATCACCCTTGTCATAGGAACATTCTGATTCATCACCCTTGTCATAGGAACATTCTGATTCATCACCCTTGTCACAGGAACATTCTGATTCATCACCCTTGTCACAGGAACATTCTGATTCATCACCCTTGTCATAGGAACATTCTGATTCATCACCCTTGTCATAGGAACATTCTGATTCATCACCCTTGTCATAGGAACATTCTGATTCATCACCCTTGTCATAGGAACATTCTGATTCATCACCCTTGTCACAGGAACATTCTGATTCATCACCCTTGTCATAGGAACATTCTGATTCATCACCCTTGTCATAGGAACATTCTGATTCATCACCCTTGTCATAGGAACATTCTGATTCACTCAACCCTTGTCATAGGAACATTCTGATTCATCACCCTTGTCATAGGAACATTCTGATTCATCACCCTTGTCATAGGAACATTCTGATTCATCACCCTTGTCATAGGAACATTCTGATTCATCACCCTTGTCATAGGAACATTCTGATTCATCACCCTTGTCATAGGAACATTCTGATTCATCACCCTTGTCAAGGAACATTCTGATTCATCACCCTTGTCATAGGAACATTCTGATTCATCACCCTTGTCATAGGAACATTCTGATTCATCACCCTTGTCATAGGAACATTCTGATTCATCACCCTTGTCATAGGAACATTCTGATTCATCACCCTTGTCAAAGGAACATTCTGATTCATCACCCTTGTCACAGGAACATTCTGATTCATCACCCTTGTCATAGGAACATTCTGATTCATCACCCTTGTCTAGAACATTTGATTCATCACCCTGTCATAGGAACATTCTGATTCATCACCCTTGTCATAGGAACATTCTGATTCATCACCCTTGTCATAGGAACATTCTGGATTCATCACCCTTGTCAAAGGAACATTCTGATTCATCACCCTTTGTCAAGGAACATTCTGATTCATCACCCTTGTCATAGGAACATTCTGATTCATCACCCTTGTCATAGGAACATTCTGATTCATCACCCTTGTCATAGGAACATTCTGATTCATCATGCTTGTCATAGGAACATTCTGATTCATCACCCTTGTCATAGGAACATTCTGATTCATCACCCTTGTCATAGGAACATTCTGATTCATCACCCTTGTCACAGGAACATTCTGATTCATCATGCTTGTCATAGGAACATTCTGATTCATCACCCTTGTCACGGGAACATTCTGATTCATCACCCTTGTCACGGGAACATTCTGGTTCATCACCCTTGTCACGGGAACATTCTGATTCATCACCTTTGTCACAGGAACGTTCTGGTTCATCACCCTTGTCACGGGAACATTCTGATTCATCACCCTTGTCACAGGAACATTCTGATTCATCACCCTTGTCACAGGAACATTCTGATTCATCACCCTTGTCACAGGAACATTCTGATTCACACTCACCTTTTGTTCAGTCATAGGAAAGAACATTCTGGACCTATCATCACCCTTGTCATAGGAACATTCTGATTCATCACCCTTGCATAGGAACATTCTGATTCATCACCCTTGTCATAGGAACATTCTGATTCATCACCCTTGTCATAGGAACATTCTGATTCATCACCCTTGTCATAGGAACATTCTGATTCATCACCCTTGTCACAGGAACATTCTGATTCATCACCCTTGTCATAGGAACATTCTGATTCATCAACCCTTGTCATAGGAACATTCTGATTCATCACCCTTGTCATAGGAACATTCTGATTCATCACCCTTGTCATAGGAACATTCTGATTCATCACCCTTGTCAAGGAACATTCTGATTCATCACCCTTGTCATAGGAACATTCTGATTCATCACCCTTGTCATAGGAACATTCTGATTCATCACCCTTGTCATAGGAACATTCTGATTCATCACCTTTATGACATTCTATCTCACCCTTGTCAAGGAACATTCTGATTCATCACCCTTGTCATAGGAACATTCTGATTCATCACACCCTTGTCAAGGAACATTCTGATTCATGCACCCTTGTCACAAGGAACATTCTGATTCATCACCCTTGTCACAGGAACATTCTGATTCATCACCCTTGTCATAGGAACATTCTAGATTCATCACCCTTGTCACAGGAACATTCTGATTCATCACCCTTGTCATAGGAACATTCTGATTCATCACTGTCATAGAACATTCGATTCATCACCCTTTCATAGGTAATTTCTGATACACCCTTGTTCATAGAACATTCTGATTCTCACCATGTGTCATAGAACATTCTGATTCATCACCCTTGCAAAGGAACATCGGATTCATCACCCTTGTCATAGGAACATTCTGAGTTCATCCTTGCTAGACATTCTGATTCATCACCTTAGTATAGGAATGATTCTGATTCATCAACCTGTATGAAGTTGATACATTCTAGAAACATTGATCATCACCCTTGTCTAGGAACATTCTAGATTCATCACCCTTGTCATGAACATTCTGAATTCTCACCCTTGTCACATGACTTCTGAATCATCATGCTTGTCATGGAACATTCTGTTCATCCCCTTGTCACGGAACATTGACACAACCGTTCACGGAACATTTCTGTTCATCACCCTTAAGTACAGGAACATTCTGATTCATCACTTTGTCAAGAACGATTCTGGTTCATCACCCTGTCACGGGAATATCTGACTTCATCACCTTGTCACGGGAAATTCTGATTCATCAGCCTTGTCACAGGAACATATGATTCATTCACCTTGTCACGGGAACATCTGATTCATCACCTTGTCACGGGAACATTCTGATTCATCACCTTTGTCACGGAACTCTGAATTGCACACTTGTCACTGGGAACATTTGATCATCACCTGTGTCACAGGACATTCTGATTCATCACCCTTGTCACAGAACATTTGATTCATCATCTTGTCACGGGAACATTCTGTTATCACCTTTGTCAGAAACATTCTGGTTCATCACCCTTGTCACGGGAACATTCTGATTCATCACCCTTGTCACGGGAACATTCTGATGCATCACCCTTGTCATGGGAACATTCTGATTCATCACCCTTGTCATAGGAACATTCTGATTCATCACCCTTGTCACGGGAACATTCTGATTCATCACCCTTGTCACGGGAACACTCTGATTCATCACCCTTGCCACGGGAACATTCTGATTCATCACCCTCGTCACGGAACATTCTGATTCATCACCCTTGTCAGGGGAACATTCTGATTCATCACGCTTGTCACGGGAACATTCTGATTCATCACCCTTGTCACAGGAACATTCTGATTAATCACCCTTGTCATAGAAGCATTCTGATTCATCACCCTTGTTATAGGAACATTCTGATTCATCATCCTTGTCATAGGAACATTCTGATTCATCACCCTTGCCACAGGAACATTCTGGTTCATCACCCTTGTCACAGGAACATTCTGATTCATCAACCTTGTCACGGGAACATTCTGATTCATCACCCTTGTCATAGGAACATTCTGATTCATCACCCTTGTCATAGGAACATTCTGATTCATCACCCTTGCCACAGGAACATTCTGGTTCATCACCCTTGTCACAGGAACATTCTGATTCATCAACCTTGTCACGGGAACATTCTGATTCATGACTCTTGTCACAGGAACATTCTGATTCATCACCCTTGTCACAGGAACATTCTGATTCATCACCCTTGTCATAGGAACATTCTGATTCATCACCCTTGTCACAGGAACATTCTGATTCATCACCCTTGTCATAGGAACATTCTAATTCATCACCCTTGTCACAGGAACATTCCGATTCATCACCCTTGTCACAAGAACATTCTAATTCATAAATCTTCATTTTTTTCAGTATTTTGAGAGCAATATGTTCAGGCTTCAGTGTGCCTATTTCAGGCTGAAACTTGATAAAAAAGACTCGGAGCTCTGAGAATATTCTGAAGTCATTAAGCTGCATTTAATAATGTAGATAAATGATTCGGAGAACCGATAAGTTGATAAATTAGAAACATGTGAAACACTTGACTGGGGACTAATTACCTCAAACTCCTTCTGATCTTCACCATTCTTCATTGTATGGACTGATGAAGTCACTGTGTGGCGAAACGTTTCCACAGTAAAGATACCCAAGCGTTGCACATGTGTCTGTATTTAAGTAATGATTACAGTGGACCCCCGGTTAACGATATTTTTTCACTCCA